GACCAGAAATCATTCTAATTTATTAAAATAGCTACATATGTCCTAAAATCATGAAAGTTTTACACAAGCCATATGTTCAACAGAAGACATGACCCTCAAAATTTCAAGGCAAACGGACCAGTACATAATTTTTAATAATTCCAACACTAAAACAACGGTTATTCAAGTTCAACAATTTATCTACGACTCGATTAACGACGAATTCGTCCGAGGCCATCACAATATGACCTAGGACTCATTATATTTAAAATTCCACAGCGACTTAACACGGATTTAACGAGGTCTTGTTCGGTTTCACAAATCGAAAAGATCGTTACATAAGACAAATACAAATAAGGCAATTCATACTCATAACCACAAGGCAGCACATATATACTATCGTACTTCGGGAATCTACAAAGAGGCACGGATCGATAATTATTTGGTGATCGGCTGAAGCTCCTTCTGATGCCCAATTCGATTTAGTCCAACTCATATGCCCGATTAAATCCCAATATTCAAGAAATTAGTGATAAGCCCAATGTCTTTTTCCATTCTACTTTTTCCCTTTTCTTCTTCCTTTTTCCTTTTCCTTTTTCTTTTCTCTCTCTCTTTTTCCTTTCCTCTTCCCGTCATTTTCTTTCTTCTCTTCTTCACAAAGCCGATTCCCCCAAATTTCTTACTCAATTCCTTCCTCTAAAATTCTCACCGAATCCATTCGCTGCTCTCTCTCAAACTCCAAAATTTCAGAAATTACTCTTCAATTGGATTCGAGGAGGTCGATTTAGCGAGGCAACGGGAGGACGGTTTTCGACAATCAGCGGTGACCTAGATGGCTCCCCCAACGGCGGTCGAAGTTCGTGGTCCCGCTTGCGCGATTCGATTTTCCTTGAGGGATTCCGGTCGGAGATGGCAGCCTACGCTCGAAATGACGATGAATCGATGGGCTCGGGAGACAGTCTGCGGACGGATTTTTGGTGCAGCTGACGGGCACTAGGCCGTCGGACAGGGGTGGCAAGAGTCCCACGTTTTTCAACAGTTCGGCCATTGACGGCAGCAACCGGTGGTTTGGCTCCTGGGCGACGGGCGTCTGACGGTGGCTATGGGTCGCCGGCGAGGGGGAGGCTCGACGGCTGCTCGGAGACGGGACAGAGGTTCGCTGGTGGTCTCCTCGTTCTCGGCGATTGCTTCGAATTCGAGCTTCGTGTCACATCGGGGAAAATCGGACAGAGGTTCGATGAGCTCGTCTTCGGATGATGACATGAGGTCGAGCAATGGTCGGTGAAGGCTCGATGAACAACTGAATCGGGGAGAGAGCGCCGGGATTGATTTTGTTGGGTTCATCGGATTGATTTTCGAATTCTTTTAGTCTGTTTGAATTTGAATGCGTTTGCTGAAAGTTTGGATTTTCTTAGATGGGATTTGAATGAATTTGGACTGATTTTTTTTTTTCTGGCTGAATATCCATTATGAAAAACGAATGCTGAAAAGGGTTTGGTATTTTGACGAGGGTCAGAAGTCGAGAGATAAGTGAGCAGAATTATTTGTGCGATCAGTTATCTTGGATGGGAAGATTTGAGCGAGAAGGAAGTATTCGATTAGGATGGAATCTCCCTTATCTTAATGCACAAGCCAATCATGAATTAAGGGAATTAGGAGAGAATTAAATCGTTCTAAAATTGGAGGGGTCGGTTTTAACTAATGAAAATTGGACCGAGTCCAAAGTTCGAGGAAATTATCCAAGAGGGCTTTGAAAATTATTTTTAAAGGGCCAAGAATTTTCAATAAATTGGGCCGGGAATAATTTAGTAACATGGGCCGAAATAAAATTACTCACTAAAATGGGCCGAGTATCTCACTCCAGGCTCGCTCGGAAATCGGCTCAAAGGTACAACGATTCGATAAGGATACGACGAACGAATATATCGGACAACGGCGGTCGGACGATTTACCAACGACATGAAAATGGATCAAATGACTTATCGAAATAATTAGACGGAGTTATCCAATTAATCGAAATATTTTAAAAAAAATATGATACAAATGAATCCTAATAATTCTAATATACATATAAATAATATATAAACATACAATAATCACATATAATCCACATAAAACATCACTTATGCATTTAATTCAAATAAATAATATTTAGACGTAAAATAATAGTAATAATAATAATAATAATAATAATAATAATAATAATAATAATAATAATAATAATAATAATAATTATAATAACAATAATGATAAATAATTCTAAAATATTCCATAATTAAACGGGGCATTACAAGCAGAGTGTAAAAAAAAAATCTCAGCTCTAAACACCTAACATGCGATTTATTAAAATTGCTACAACATTCAGCAGATTTCGAATTTTCAACATAACTGAATCTAAATGAACTCTAAAAATTTCAATATTTTAACAGCATGAAATACACCACAAAACAGACACTCAACCAAAAATCAGAATTTTTCAGCATCAGATCAATTTTTCACAATTAAAACAATTTCTGGCAGAAACACAAAATAATTTTTTTTATCTAAGCTAACAGAATCCAAAAATTATGAAAAGTTTACACAACATCTAAACATGCAAGAGACACAACATATTCGAATTTCAACCAATTTTGAGCACTACACAATTTATTATGCAATTAACATGAATCTGACCAGAAATCTTTTTAATATATTAAAATAGTTACAGACCTAATAAAATTATGAAATTTTTACACCAGCTACATAATTAACAGATCAATTACCCTCAAAATTTCAAGGCAAACGGACCAGCAAGCAATTTATTATGAATTTAATACGAAAACAACCACTATACAATTTCGACAATTTATCAACGACTCGATTTGCGACGAAATCGCCCGAGGTCTTAACCATAAGACCAAGGATCATATAAGGTTCCAATCCACAACAACTTAAACACGAATGATGAGGTCTCGTTCGATTTCTCAAAATCGAAGAGCTCGTCTGCACAAATATATATATATATATATATATATATTGAACTAATTTCAACACATAAAAATGATAGGCTTATATATACATATTCGAAACAGTCGACTAACACCTCAAACAATCGCATAACGAAATCGATACATAATTTAACGAGGCGGGGTTCGAGCCTTGTACCGTTCTCGGGAATCGTTCGAAAAACAGAACGAACGAGGGTTGACGGCTCGAACGGCAAACTCGCGGCGGTGGCATTCGGTGGCTACGCGCGACTCGTGGAGGGGCTGTGGCGGAGGACGGCTCGAGGAGGCGCTGAACCGGAGCCTGCCGAGGAGGGGCAGCGACTCGCCTTTGCCGTGAGGGTCGCGGTACAGGGCCTGCGCCTCGGAGGAGGTCGCCAGCGGCTATGGAGGTTCGCCAGGAGGGCAGCAAAGGCTGAGGACGGCGGCTAGATCGAAACAGAGGTGCTGCACGATGTATCTGGTGGTCGCGGCGCGGCGGGAGCTCTGGCCGCGGCGTGGTGGGGCTCTGATCGCAGCGTGGCGGGAAGAAAAACACTGCGCGACGGGATTGCAGGCTCCCGCGGAGGAGACGAACTCACCGGAGGAATTCGTCGGGGTCGCTGCTGGGATGTTGTTGCGCGAAGATGAAGTCGCCGGAGTTGCAGGCGCGATAAGAGAAGGTCGCCGGCGTCTTCTCACGAGATGGAGGGTCAGCAACGGAAAAGATTCAGAGGAAAAGTGATGGCGCGATGAAGGTGAGGTGATCGTTTATGATGGTGAAGGATGAAGGTTACGATGAAGATAAGATTTCTCTCTTCACTGCGATGTCGGTCGAACTGAACGAGAGGGGGAAAAAGAAAAAGTTGTGGTGCGTTTTCCCTTCTGCAAGATGAACGAGCGAGAAAAATATAAGGGGCTAGGGTTATTGTCATGTCCCACAAGACCTTCACTAGAGCGGTTCGGGTAAAAGGGAAACCGGGTCAGCCGGTTCGCCTATCGGTTCGGGTACGGTTTTGGCGGGCTCGATTAAACGCAACACTAAATCGGTTCGGCTCGAAAATTAAATCGCACAATAGAATAAATAAACCGAATATTATTTATATATTCATAATACATACACATTAATTTAAAAATATTAATTTTTATAACCAAAAAATAAATTACGCAAATTAGACAATTAGTTAATAATAATAACATTTAGACATTTAATCGCAATTTAACAAATAAATAATATTAGACATTCAATAATAATAATAATAATATTAATAATGATATATAATTCCCAAAATATTCCATAATCAAACGGGGCATTACACGGCGCCCAGGCGGGCATAGAAGGACCTAAACACTCCTAGGCGGGCTCGGCAACAATTTTTCAGTTCTTTTTTTTTTTAATAAAAATACTAATTACATTATTTTATTCTCATGTTTTCTTTAAAATATATTAATATTATTATTTGTACTTAGGTGTGTGGATTTATTATAAGTTGAGATATTTTTATTTTGTAGTTAGTTATAATACATAAAAAATAAGGTATTTAATATTAATTTCTAGTCCCGGACTAGGCGCCGCCTAGGCCTCGCCTGAGCGGTCTAGGCACTAGGCGTTGGTCGAGCGCCTACTTTTTGAACACAGCTTTTACATAATATTATTTTTAATTATTTTATTTTAAATATCATTTTAATACATTCTTAAAATTTCAAACATTAATCAATTCATACCACATTTTTTAAAATTAACTCTATTAACTAAGAAGATGCCATTTTGAACGAACTAATTAATAAACAAGCGCATCGTGAGACGAGCAACAACAAATTGTGCACCACGAGTTTGTGATTTGAACAGGTAATTAAAAGAAGCAAAGCGTGAAGAGGGGAGAGACAGATAATAGATTTGATGGGCCACGTGGCATGGCAGCCAGCCAATCACATAACCACACTCCTATCCTCTCAAGATAAGCATAAGCCCCTTCCTTTGTGAGTACATTAGTTAAAACGTTTACTTCCATTTCCATTGGATGCGCACAAAAACGCTAAACAATCAGTGAGAGTGAGATGGCCTCTGCCTGTGCTTCGTCAGCCATTGCTGCTGTTTCCATCTCGTCCTCAAGGCAAGTTTTGTGTAACGTAAACATATGGAAATGGTAATATAATGAATATTAATTAATAATGATGTTATTCAATTTGAAAAAAAAAAAAAAAAAAAAACAGGTTGATTGTGGGGGAAACAAAGGCTTCATTCTTTGGAGGAAGAAAATTGGGAGTGAGCAGTTTGACAGGAAGAAAGAGCAGGGGATTAGTGTGTGCTGCTGCTGTTGCTGATCCGGATAGACCTCTGTGGTTCCCCGGTAGCACACCTCCCCCGTGGCTCGATGGCAGGTGTGTCAGCTCATTATTAATTTATCAAACAACATATATGCAATATGAGTGATGCTATTAAGCCAACTTGAGTTACAACCCAAGTGTAAATGCATTATTAAGAAATTAAAAATAATACATGCATTATTAAGAAATTAAAAAATAATACATTTTTAGTCGTGATTTAATTTATTACCATAGTAATTTTAGTCTTATGGTTCTAATATTTTTGCCTTTTGGTCCTTTCAGTCCTTAAAAGACTGAAACTGCGACAAAATTTTAATCAACAATACTGAAATTATAATAAAATTTTCAATTATAGGAACTTAAATTGGTAATAAAAGTTTATAAATTTAGAATTTTGTTGCAGTTTCAGTCCTCAAATGACTGAAAATATTTAATCACATGACCAAAAAGGTAAAATGTTAGAATCTTAAGACTAAAAATGTTATGGCGTTAAACCAACAGGACTAAAAATTCAATTTAGCCTGTATAATATTAGTATCCATATATAGATACATACACACATGTTTAATTTAATGAAAAAACAAAGATAAACCTTGTTATATATGTTGTTGCAGCCTTCCAGGAGACTTTGGTTTTGATCCTCTGGGCTTAGGTATGGTCTCTAACTAACTAACTAACCTAGAAAAAGTAGTAGATCATGAATCAAAATCATGACAGTAATAGTAATAGTGCAATACATACATATGTACAGCATCAGACCCGGAGAGCTTGAAATGGAACCAGCAAGCAGAGCTCGTCCACTGCAGGTGGGCGATGCTCGGCGCAGCAGGCATCTTCATTCCGGAGTTCCTTACAAAAATAGGGATCCTCAACACCCCATCATGGTACACTGCAGGGGAGCAGGAGTACTTCACCGACACCACCACACTCTTCATAGTCGAGCTAATCCTCATTGGTTGGGCTGAGGGCCGGCGCTGGGCAGACATCATTAAGCCGGGGAGCGTCAACACAGACCCCATCTTTCCCAACAACAAGTTGACAGGGACAGATGTGGGGTACCCGGGAGGGCTCTGGTTCGACCCTCTCGGCTGGGGCTCAGGCTCCCCGCAGAAGATAAAGGAGCTCAGGACTAAGGAAATTAAGAATGGGCGGCTTGCCATGCTGGCAGTGATGGGCGCTTGGTTCCAGCACATCTACACAGGGACGGGCCCCATTGATAACCTCTTTGCCCACCTCGCAGACCCTGGCCATGCCACCATTTTCGCTGTAAGCCGCCACACTATCCATATCTCTCACTATATATCCTTATCTAATTCTTTTTCATCATTTATTTTTGCAGGCTTTCACCCCAAAATGACGAGGACCAATACATTTCTCATCTGTATTATTAATCTACTGCTACTACCTACTATATATGTCTTTGTAAGTTGTAGATGACAAACATATGCACTCTACGAATATTTTCCTTCACCACAACTCCAAAATCTCCATTCTAACTTTTTATGTCATCTCATGTCATGTCCAAAAATTAATTTACTTCTTAATTCACATCACACACACAAATTCCTTACATCTTAGGTTTTTAAGCTATTCAATTAAATCATAAAAGTAGAAAAACATGTTAAAGGTGCATGCATACATGTTGTCAATGATTGCTTGCATACATTCGTTTCTAGCCTGCACAACATATACAAGTGCATATTTTGAAGAAAATACAATTCAATATAATGTAAAGACTGATGGAGCTAGGTGCAAATATTTAAGAACCTACAACTACAAGTTGCACTCTAAAAGGTAATATAATAATCAATTGGCTTACAGAGTAGTTTGCTCATTGTATGATTCTGGGGTGATTCACCTGAAATTTGTACTTTTACTCGTTAAATAAATTAGATAATTTCAATTTTGGCTCTGGAAGGCCATGAAGATCTTCACAATCACTGTTTTACTTAATATTCTGAGGATGCAATAGATCATCATGCTTCGCAATAAATAATCCGATTTGCATGCGCACTTGAACTTTTGGAAAGGTACTCCCAAGTTGGTCAGTACAGTATGATTAATTCTTAGATCGGAATTAACTGAAAAATACTTGGAACATCTTAGAGAATGTGTAACAAATTGATTTTAGCTATAATTGTAACACAACGGTGATTGCTGGTAGACATCAATGAAGGTCAGGTACAGAACAAAAAACCAATGAAATATTTATATCTTCTCTTTTATAAAAGCTAGAAAAGTCCACGTGTGGTGCACATAGTTATAAATTTTGTTGTCGATTAATTTTTTTAGTAAGAAAAAAAAAATGATTGGCTTAGTAAAACATGTTATCGTAGGGATGAAATAAAACGAATAACATGACGAGTCTCTATTGTAAATTAATATAAATATTATAATGATGTCCTAATATAAGAGAATGAAATTAATGCCCTAAATTAAAATAGATGAAAAAGTCTCTGATTAAAAGAATGAAATAATTAAATAAGTACTCAATGTATATTATAGATACATTAATTGTTCTTTTTCTTTCTTTTTTTTTTTCTTATGTTGATTGCATAATTGATTTCATTCCTTGCCTTTGATGTTATCCTCCCACTTTTCTTTTTCAAAGTTGTCAATTGTTTCATGATTTTCAATTTCAATGATACTACTATTTTTGTAACGCTCCATTTAAGAAGAAAATATTCGATTTCCAAAATTCGAGCTAAATTTTTCAAAACATTTTGAATGACACTATCATTTTCATCTTCTATTTTTATCTTGTAAAATGCTCCTTTTTTTTTTTATTCCTATTATCTATTTATGATGCGTCTTTAATCGCTTGTAAATTATTTAGGCTGGTTTAAAAAATTAATGGATTTTCTTCCCTTTTTTCATCATGTGTAGGTTGTAACCTACTAGTTGTTTTTGCCACCACTTAGAAATCTCCACGTGTTGTCAGAAACAAGAAATTGATATTCGATCGGTGCTTGAAAGCTAGGTTCTCTATAGTACTTGAACAGTTCTTCTCCCCAACTTGTTTAAATAAAAAAGTAATTTATAAATAGAATCCGTAAAAATCAACATGAACTCCAAATTGAAAATTATTTTTCACCTACTCAATTGAACTAGGATATTTAGGGGGCGCTTGTTTATGAAATAATTTGTTTAAAATGAGTTATTTTGGTTAACTATAGTTAATTTTGAAAAGATGGTATGATTAGTTGTTAGTGGAATTTTAAGAATGTATTAAAATAATATTTAAAATACAATGATTAAAATTAATTGATGTAAAAGTAGGAGATAAATGATTGAAAATGATTGGAAATGATATGTAGTTAAAATTATGTGAGTGGATGAATAGTAGATTAAAGTTGATGTGATGTGTAAGAATGATTGATTTGTATAATTTAATTATATGAATAATATTAAAGACAGTGGAGTTGAGTTAAAGTTAAGTTAGATTTTGAGTATGAATTGGATGAGAATGAAATAATTTGTAAACAAACATGCCCAATAACAAGACATTTTATGCACACAATCATGACACCCCCAAATAGTGTTATAGTTGCGTTGTAGTTTCCGTCAACGATATTTAAGATCAACCTATATGTACGATTATTGATATTTTTTATATATTTTTTTTCCATAGTTTTTGTTATTACCTCTAATGTTTCCACTCCTTTGCTATTACACTTATGAGAGCAAGGAGTAACACATTATTTTAAAATATTTAATATCATAACAATGTAACAAAGAAAAACAACTACTAATTGATAGAAACAAATAATAATTATGATGTCGTCATATGTCCTAAACAATAATACAAGAGGAAAGGTCAAAATTCGGGCATATGTGCCTATTCCTATGACTAAGAATTCCATCTATAGCACATATAAAGATATATGGCATCTCAATATCAAGGTAATTACTTTAGTTTATATATCTGTCGATAAGTATTGTGTAATTGTTAAAGTTAAAACTATTAAAGTGATATTCATCGCAATATTCCGTTATAAATAACAAATATTTATTTCAACCATACACCAACTGTAATAGATTATAAAAAATGAGATTACAACAAACACACAATTATATCTAATGTTTAGTGTTATGTGAAAAATTAAGAGTTTATATGAAATGATTGATCCTTCATTTTGAACCATATCTTTACATAAAGAGATTATAATGAATTGATAACTGCAAATATATTCAATTTAATTTCTTGTATATGTCAATAATAATTTATTTCCAAAAAATAAAATAAAATCAAAGATACTACTTTTAATAAGGTAACCCTTAAGTTCATTCATTAGTATAATAGTGTAAATATGTACAGAAATAAATATACACTCTTGGTCCATAACAATATTTTTTCTAAGGTTGTTTAGCTACATTTGAATTTGTAGTATTTCTGTATTTTTCCATTATCACATATTACTTTCTGCTCATTCTCAATGCTCTCAAGATTCATGATAAAGATATTTTTTTGCGTCTTCACCTTCAGGAACATCCACTTTACTCCATAACTACTGTTTTAGAGTTTTGGTTCTATTGAGAAAGTGATAAACATAGGAAAACTATGACAGCAAGAAAGGAAATGAGAACAAGAAAGATCAAATTGAATCTCCCATTTTCATGTAAGGGTTTACATTGCTTTTTCTTTGCAATAACTTCACTATATCATTAAAGAGGTAATGTCTACATATTTATACTATGATGATAGCAATCCAACGGTCCTCATTACACATGCATGAGATGCTTTTGGCTTTTCCCTCAAGGTTTCTCCTGATGACTTGGCAGAGGCTCTCATTGACCGGTCATATTGTTGCATGGCTTCTTGTGCTTATGTGGCATTGACTGGTCCTTGCATATATGACCTTTATGTATTCTAACATCCCCCCTAAAGCCAAAGAAGGTTCCAGGAAGCAGTTGGAGCTGATTTCTAAACCGAGTGAAGGCTTGTTGAGAAAGTGGCTTGGTGAAGATATCTTCTACTTGTTCTGGGGAAGGTACATGTAGTACCTTGAGTGTACCTTTAGCAACTAGGTCTCTGACAAAGTGAAGATCAATTTCAATATGTTTTATGCGAGCATGAAGGACTGGATTTGTGGAGAGAGAGATAGTACTTAAGTTATCAACCCACACAGTAGGAGTATAGGAGTAGGAGACAGACAACTCTTTAAGTAAAGAGGTAATCCATGCAATTTCAGCTGAGGCTTGAGCAAGGCTTCTATACTCAGCCTCAGTGCTTGAACGAGAGATGGAAGATTGTTTCTTGCAGCACCAAGAGACAGGATTTTTCCCAAGATACACACAAACACCAGAGGTAGAACTTCTGTCATCTAGGTCATTGGCCCAGTCAGAATCTGAGAAACCAGTGATATGCAAGCTTGTGTTTCTTGTGTAATGTAGTCCATAGAACATGGTTCCAGCAAGGTATCTTAGAATGCGTTTGACTGCCTTCCAATGTGTGTCCATTGGACATTACATAAACTGACATACTTTGTTTACACTGTATGAGATGTCTGGTCTGGTAATGCAGGCATATTGAAGTGAACCAACCACACTTCTGTACAGTGTAGGATCATTCATAGGGTTGCCTTGGTTTTTAGTGAGAGAGAAGGATGAGATCATTGGGGTTGGGAGAGGTTTGGCATCCAACATCTTTGTCTTCTGAAGAATATCCCTAATGTAGTGACTTTGAGTAAGAAGCAAACCAGATTGAACATGGTGCACTTCAATACCTAGGAAGTGATGTACTTGACCTAGATATTTGAGGGAAAAATGTTGTTTAAGAGTACCAATGACTGTTGAAACTGCAGCTATATTAGACCCTGTGATAAGGATATCATCTACATAGACAAGTAGCCACACATAAGAGGAGCCTGTTTGCTTGATGTATAAAGAGCAGTCAGATTTGGAATGAGTGAAGCAAAGTGATAAGAGTGACTGTTTCAGTTTGTTGAACCAAGCTCTTGGAGCCTGCCTTAAGCCATAGATGGACTTGTGAAGTTTGCAAACAAGATGTGGGTTGGTTATATGCTCAAAACCAGGTGGTTGAGCCATGTACAGTTCTTCATTGGTTTCTCTATTGAGGAAAGCATTGTTGAAGTCTAAATGCTTGACACACCAGCCATAGGTGAGTGCCAGTGATAACACAACCCTTATTGTAGTTGGTTTGATAACTGGACTAAAGGTTTCATAGAAATCAATACCTGCAGACTGATTGTAGCCCTTTGCAACTAGTCTGGCCTTATGTCTAGCAACAGTGCCATCAACATGTTTCTTGGTCTTGTACAGCCACTTACATCCTATGATGGACCTGTTTGGGGGAGGATCAACAAGAGACCAGGTCTTGTTTTTTATCAATGCCTGATATTCAGCAACCATAGCAGCTTTCCAAGATGGATGAGTGAGGGCTTCCAAATAAGAAGAAGGTTCTGAAGTATTGACCTCAGCAACAAAACTCTTGGTTTGAGTGAGCCTGTCTCAGACCTGGTTATCATAGGATGAACAGGAACATGATCATCAGTAGAGACAGAAGTATTTGGAATGTGGTCTCTCACAATTGGCAATTCAACATATAGTGGTATAGTAGAAAGAGAGTTTTGTGAGGAGGGGCTATGAGAAGATTGTGTAGAGGAGGAGGACTGAGGTGTTTGTGGTATAGGGGAAGTATTGTGAGGAGATGGTGGATCAGGTGGTTGTGGTGGGGTAGGTGCAATACTTGTTGAGTTTGGTGCAGTATGAGGATTATGGACTATTGGTGGGGGTTGGTGTAAAAGGGATGGAAGAGTATGATTCTCAGTGTAAGTGTTGGAAGGTTTGGAGAAAGGGAACTGAGATTCATCAAAGATGATGTCCCTTGTGACAATAATTTTCCCAGATGGTAAGAGAACTTTGTAATCTTTATGTTTGGAACTGAAGCCAATGAAGGTAGAGGGAAGGGATCTGGGTTGGAGTTTGTGTTTGTTATATGGCCTGAGATTAGGGTAGCAAAGGCAGCCAAAGATTTTGAAGGTAGAATAGTTTGGTTTGTGACCATAGAGTTTCTCAAATGGTGAAGAAAAGCTCAGTGCTTTGATAGGTAACCTGTTGAGAGTGTATATGGCAGCACCAAAAGCATCATCCCAAAACTTTAGAGGGACATGAGAGTGATATAGAAGAGCAAGACCCATTTCAGCAATGGTCCTATGTCTCCTTTCAGCAACACCATTTTGGGCTAGGGTGTATGGGCAAGAGAGTTTGTGGTTAATCCTTGAGTCATTAAAAACTGAAGTAAGAGCTCTAAACTCTCCACCTCAGTCACTTTGTATTGCTTTGATTTTATGATTGAGTTGATTTTCAACCAAGTTTTTAAAATGAAGAATGGCTTCTTTGACTTCAGATTTCAGTTTCAGAAAGTATATCCATGTGTACTTGGTGTGATGGTCAACAAAACAAACATAATACTTAGAACCATTTGTAGAAGGTATGGGTGATGGCCCCCACACATCAGTGTGAACTAATTCAAGTGGAGAAGTGTAAGTAGCATCAGAAGAGTGATAAGGTAAGTAGTGAGATTTAGCTTGTTGACAAGAACAGCAAATGTATTTGTCATTCATTGAAACTGAAATATTACATGATATTATAACTCTAGAAACAACATCAAATGCAGCATGACCAAGTCTAGAATGCCAAAGAGCTAGATCATTGTTTTGATTGAAAGTAACAACATTTGCATAAAGTAAAGGGGGGAGTGATTGCTTCTGACTGGACTTTGGTGGTGAGGGAGAGCATGTGAAATCAAAGCTGTAAAGGCCTCCTGTAAGTGAACCTTGGAGAAGAACGTGGTGTGTAGCTTGATCCTTAACAAAACAAAGATTAGGGTAAAACACAAAGTAGACTGAGTTATCTTGAGCAAACGAGGAAACACTCAAAAGGTTTTTAGTAATAGAAGGTACATGGAGCAAGTTTTTGAGAAGGAATGATCTAAAGAGGTTAGAGGGATTATGGAAATGTGAATTGCCAATATGTGAGATAGACAAACTTGATCCATTACCAACATGGAGTCTGTTGTTCCCTTGATATTCTGATGCTAAGTTGAGATTAGAGAGGTCATTGGTGACATGATTGGAGGCACCAGAGTCAGCGAACCACAGAGAGTCTATTGTTGGGTCAGGTGTGGTCAGCAATGCATTGGGATGATTAGCCAGAGATGTGGTGTGCTGTGAGGTTGCAGTGGGCTGTGCTTGAACAGTTTGAGCCTGCATAGTGGTAGGTGGAGGATAGGAGCTATCATATCTGTGATAGCATCTGTCAGCAGTGTGATTGTTGAGACCACACAACTGACAAGTGGGCCTTGAGTTGGAGTTTCCGTAACCCCTACCACCTCTCCCACTATATGTGTTGGATCTGCCTCTGCCTCTGTGGTTAGAGTAGGCTCCTCGTGAGTTTTTGTGAGGAGGGAAGGTGGAGGGAGATCTCTGAGAAGAGGGGTTGTTCATGGCTATGTTAACACTTGGTATAGATCCATCTGGATTGACAATAGGTTGCATAGTGGGATCAAGCCTAGATTCAAGGCTAAGAAGCATAGCATAAACTTCATTTAGGGAGTAGGGTTCAACCCTTGATGTGACTGCTACCACAGCTGGGTTGTACTCACTGCCCAAGCCAGCTAGAATGTATAGGATATGGTTTTGTTCTGAAACAGGTTCACCAGCCACACCTAGGGCATCACAGCAAGATTTAACTTTGCTCAGAAACTCTCTCATAGAGGTAGAGCCCTTCTTTAGGGTTTGTAGTTGAAGCTTGTGATGCATAAGCCTGGCCTTGGAGATCCCAGAGAAGTTAGATTCCAGTGAGATCCATACCTCTCTGGCTGTGGTTTTGCCAACCATCATGATGAGGAGATTTTCACTTAGTGAGGATAATGGCCAAGACATGAGAAGTTGGTCTTGCCTCACCCAGGTAGCAAAGTCAGGGTTGAGGGTGGGTGGATGTAGCGCCCCATTCGTTTACGGAATATCTGGGATTTTTTATTTATTATTAATGTCATTATTATTATTATTTTTATTATTTCTATTATTATTTTATTTAGATGTCTAATTGTAAAATAAATGCTTAATTGTGTGTATTATTATTTAATTAATAAATGTGTCTTATTATTAAATAATCAATGTGTATTATATATAATAATATATATATCCGATTTTAATTTAATTATCGCGCGATCAAAACGAGTTTAATATGGTTATGTCGAGCCCGATGAAAACCGAGAACCTGCACGCCTAGCCGCATCAATCCATTTAAATCCGAACCGTGAAATTATTCAATTGGCCAATTGGGTTCCAATTTCGGTCCATTCAGATAGATTACCTGGCCCAGTCCGATTGTTAAATTCGGCCCGTTTGTGTTTGAGAAGAACCAGTCCAAATGGCTTGCAAATTTGACCTGTTAATTAGGGCCCTAATTTTATTAATTTAGCCCTAAACCTATTATACTCGTATATCATCCCTCATCTCTCTCAGTACACGCCCCGCAGTCCCTCAATCAGATTTCTTTTGTTTTCTTTTCGATCGATCTCTCACCTACATCATTGAACCTCTTTTTCGTTTTCTGTTTTCCATCTCATCACCATCGTCTTCCTCCCATCATCATCGTCCTCTCGTCGTAGCCCTGCTCGTGAGTCGCGATCACCATCCTCGCCTCCTCTCGTTGGAAAGCCCTATCGCCGCCCCTGTCCGCGAGAACGCAGCGCGTCTGCAACTCCTTCCTCCGCGACACCAGTGTCTCCGGCGAGCTCTCCCCTTCACGAACCAGTCCGGCGAGCTCCTCCTCCGCCGCGACCAG